TATATAAGAAATTTATAAATAATAGAATAAGATAGTTTGAAATTAAGAAATCTTGAAATGTTTTTTGATTCTAATATCAAAAATGATTGGATTGTTTATTGAATAGATTTTTTGTTTAGATTCAATCCCAATTTATTATATGATTCTTTTTAATTTTATAATTAATAAACCTAAATACCTAATGTAATTGAATGAACAACAATATTACATTAAGTTAATTTATAAGATTAACTAGTTTTGATATTAGAAAATAAAGTATAGGCAAAAAGAATAATCAGACTGTTTTACAAATTTTATAAAACTAATATATTATTTTAGATTTAAAGAGGAATGAGATATTACAATAAACATAGGAGATAGCAAATTTTTATGTATAAAAGAACCTTCCCTTTTATTAATTGAGAAGACTTTAACATTTAAAGTTCAAATTTTAATATTTTCTAATCAATTAGATTAATTGATTAACTAAAATATAATAGAGTTAAAATCACTTACACTTAAACATAAATTATAATTTATTCATGAGAGTTGGCTTATTATAATAATTATAATTGCTTGAATAAAGAAACTGTAAATATTAATCTTTTTTGTTAATATTTGATGCTAATAGTTATAATTAATATTAATGAATGAGTTCGGAACTTTTATTATAATATGTGAAAAAAGTATTTTTTTTTATTGATGATTTTCAAGTAAGGGAACAAACTAAAGGTTATAAAGTAAACTTTGAAATTATTTGATTATGGCAGTTTATTCTAATTAAATCTATATTAATAATTTAATAAACTATTAATTTACTTGAATTCAAGAATTTCCTCATATTGTAAACATTAAATTGTTTTAGATTATAGATTTAAATGCATTCTTGTAAAATATCAGCAATTTGAAACAGACGATAATCATTCTATATTTATAGTTCATTTAAAATTACTACTTTATTAATTTGACAAAAGATTAGTAAATAGGTTGCATATTATAGTCAAGGAATTTAAACCTCCAATAATACTATTAGAGGTTTAAAGGGAATCAGAATATAATTAACTATAAACTGATATGGCACGAAAAAGGAAGAAGTTCATATAAATTTTTAAATATATTTAGAAAAATAAAGTATTAGACTAAAAGAATAAAATAGTTCTCATTATCAAAATTGAAAAAAGGTTAACTCATCTATAGGAGTAGAGAAGATAAATTATTCTAAGTTTTTAATCTATAATAAATTATCAATCAAGATGCTCTTAATATAAATTAAAATTATGAATATTATAGCGATAAAATCAAACTTCAAAAAGTTAAAAACGGATAGTTATATTTTGAAATTTAATAGGCATAATTAATGATAATATATCATAAAAGGAATATTTAATGATGTTGTATAATTAGGTGAGACCAATAAAAGAAATTAAGGAGATATAATATCATAATACTCATAAAATTTATAGATATTGTAAATATCATATTTACATAGTTATTTTTAGAATGGATTATTATTTCAATAGTATCCTTTTGTTTATAATTTAAATTTATAATAATTTTTATATTAACTATTTTTAAATTTTAATTCATGGTTACAATTAAAATAATGATAAAAAGTTCTGTAAGAAGGTCTGATTTGGAGCAATAAGCAGTATATCATCCTAGATTTGAAGCCTATGAGAGAATCCAGAATTTTAGTTGAACATATGATAAGGATGGTTTTTCAAAAAGGTACATAGGATGATCAGATTTAAAAGTATTATAGTTAAGAAAGAAGATTGAAGGAATATCAGAAGTCGATAAGAAGAAGAAATTATTGGGAAAAGAATGCTAGATCTTATATCGAATATATTATTGACTGTTTCTAAATTAAGTTCCATACGGATGAAACTTAAGCAAAATATAAAATTTTAGAAGCCTACTTTGTAGTAAATCTAAAAAATTGAATAAAGGAAGAGATTTTTGAAAGAGACAGAATTTAACATAAAGCAAAATGATGAATTAAATTCTAATTCAATCAGAAATTAGAATATTTAAGAAATAAAGTAAACTTATTGTTCATAAATGAGAATGCAATTCCAGGTAAGGAACTTATTATTATCTATATGAAAGGGATATAAATATATCAATTGTTATTAGATGAAGATAAGTATCTACCTAATATACTATTTTTAGTTCATGAGAATGATGAAGAATAACCTTTATAGGAGAAATAAGAGTATAAATGATAAGGAACTATTGGATAAAGCAAATTAAGAATGTAAAAGCAGATCTGGGAAATAATTTAAGGAATAAGAGAAAAAAAGAAAGGAAGATAATCAAACATCGTAAAGAAGATAATAATGTTGATTTAGGTAACTTAGAATTAGAAGATGCATATTTGACCCAATAAGATATTCAAATTTGAAGGTGCTTTCATAATCGTAGAATGACGATATATTTACTACTAGGTAAGAATATAAGAGAATGAAATATGAAAGAATCATTTATGATAATTTAATTTTAAGGAAAGTAATCTAATTAATTTAGATCATTTGTGATCAAGAGAACTAAATAGGAAGGAGTTAATAATTAATTACATATAAATATTTAATTAATTTAAGGAGTGTGGCTGATTTTATTATTCTAAATCAAAATGAATGATTATCATTGTGCCAAACCTTGTTTTCTAATTTAAAATTACATTTAGTCATTCCTATAATAAATCATATGACCTAAACTTTTGAAAATAAATCTGGAAAAATTGAAAATTGTTTATCTAAAAATACTAATAATCATTTTGATATTATCTGTTGGAATAAAAATGGTATATCGCTTCATGATTTGAAAAAATTATTACTTTTGCACTAATGATAATCTTATCTATTGATATTATTTGATCTATTTGATGAGCCAAGGATTTTTAACAATTTCTATGTATTAAAAAAAGAGAAGTGTAATTATTTTTGTGAAGATATGAACTCATCTTGCCAAGAATGACAAAATCAAAATAATGATTAGAGATGATATTACATTTACTTCTTTTTACTCTCTAGTGGATAATAAAACTAATAAAGATATCCTTTCAAAATTAATAAGATCATCATCATTTAATTGAATTCCTTAATTATCATTAATATAAATTACTAGTATATGAACTATAATTTATTAATATTTTATAACGATGACATCAATTTAAGTTTCTATTGCTATATTTATTTACAAATTACTTTTTTTAATTAAATATTAATTAAAAATGATTTAATCTAAAATGATAGAAAAAGAAGAAGAACTTCTTTGTTCTTTAAAACATAAATTTCCTATCTAAATGGTTGCATGTGATAATAACTTAAAAAGTAATCAAAGACTTCTATGCCCTGAATGCATGGAAAATTTAGAGTCAAAAGCCCAATTAATGAGTTTTAAGAAAGCCTTATAAAATATCCAAGATAATCAAAAATAAAAGAAAGAATCTGTTGAGAATGTGATAATGATAAGCATTAAACTGATTGAATAACTCTAAAAAAATCTATTTTAATTAAAGTCTAATGTTGTTCAATTATTAGATTAATTAATTGGAAATGTAGATGAATGGATCAAACATGTATTAATGATTGGATAATAAAATGGTACTTATAGTTTTTATGATGAATTGGA